AGTTTCGAGAAATCTGTAGTCAATCAACGTGCAGCTATTCCATAAAAGCTGCAAGTTAATTGGCTACACGTTTCTCGAAACTAGAACTTGGATCAAGTTCTAGCATCGTGGACATTGGCCTTTAAAGACGATTTTTGGCGATCGTTTGGTACATGTACCAAAGTTGCTATTGGTAGGGGCGGAGCTTATTCTGGTAGTGATACTTACGCCAAAACGTATTGGTTCTTTTCTATACGCGCAAATTCAAACGCTATTCAAACATAATCAATAATTAGGCCTGTTCTTTATTACTGCACTACTGAACTAGTGCAATAAGTTAAAATGAAACAAATAGATTACCTCTCATTCCAACTCATTGCACCAGTGTGCACTAGTTCAGGAGTGCAGCAATAAAAAACAGACCCATCGGTAGACCTTGGTTGCTATACCAGTCACGCAAAAAAAAAATTGCCTTAAATTAATCAGAGACGGTAGAACCGGTCCTAGTCTTTATAATTATAAATATTTTGCTAAGGACTTTTGTAATTATTGGATGATGTTCGAGACGCGTCAAGGTTGTGTACAGAACGTTGGAGTCACGGAGAGTGAAATCAAAAGGAGTCTCAGTTTGTTGAAAATCACGTATAATTACAAAATTTAACAAATAAAACTGAATTAACCACACACAAAGTTTTCAGATTAAATCGAAGCGAAAGTCCAAATGAAGAAAGCGAGCGTTGGCGATAGGTGCTTCAGCGAAAAGAGCGTTAGTGAAAAGTGCGTTAGCGTTAGTGGAAAACTGAATGAAAAAGCGCTAGGACTTGCTGGGTCGCAGCTTTTATTGAAAGGGCACATTCTTTGTTCTTCCGCAGATCACCAATGGTCTTTCGCCACTTCGAGCATTTTGAGGTGACCTCAGGGCGCCTCGTGTGATTGGCAGTCACAGGGCCCTGGATTGATACCGCGAGCATTTCACATGCGCGGAGCGAGCAGTCGAGTGGCTCATTGGTGATCTGCGGAAGGGATGCCTGGTCACGGGCACGTGCCGTGATCGAGAAAATACATAATTAAAGAGCCTCGGCAAGCCCCATGCAAAAAATGCCTGTTTTCGGTACCTCGATTTTTTAAACTTTTGTTATGCCAAATGGTTACTTATGATGACCCAATAATCCCTGCAAAATTTCAAGATGAGCATATGCCCCGTTTACGAAATACTTGTATAGGGAGTCAAAGTTGACCAATCAAATCCAATAAAAAAATATAGCAGCTTCACATTTATACTCCAATAATAATGTCCAAAAAATTCAGCTGAAATGGTTCTTTTAAGATTTTTGGCTGCTGATTACGAATCTGAAGTCAGTTTAGAGAAATTAAAAATGGCGGATCCAATATGGCGGACGGATTTTTTTTAAATTCATCGGATTCACTTGAAACACGGGGGCTTTTGGGATCGCTGACACTGAAATATATACTAACTGGAACGCGCGCTGGGCGGCAGAGCTTACATCTTGCCTTTGTTGGATATACATATAGGATCCGTCATTTTGAATTTTTAAAATCTGATATCTCTTTCGTATTTGGTGAACCCCAAAAACCCTCGAGTAACGTGTTTCAAGTGAATCCGATGAATTTAAAAAAAATCCGTCCGCCATATTGGATCCGCCATTTTTAATTTCTCTAAACTGACTTCAGATTCGTAATCAGCAGCCAAAAATCTTAAAAGAATCATTTCGGCTGAATATTTTGGACATTATTATTGGAGTATAAATGTGAAGCTGCTATATTTTTTGATTGAACATAGTCAACTTTGACCCCCTATATTTCTTAAACGGGGCATATGCTCATCTTGAAATTTTGCAGGAATTATTGGGTCATCATAAGTAACCATTTGGCATAAAAAAAGTTTCAAAAATCGAGGTACCGAAAACGGGCATTTTTTGCCGATGCTCTTTGAAACAATAATAAATTTTTTTTGCTGACATCGGCCGTCGTGCGAAGTCATTGTGAGTCGGTCGCTGGCACAAACAACCAGCCGAGCGATAGAATGTCCCAGACGATAACTACACAAAGCCCATGTCAGCAAAATCAGAGAATAAATCTGAAAATTGAAACCGAAATGAAATCGTCAAAGCGCAATCGGATTTGGCGCTCGTTCAACATATCAATGCATGGCATCTTGATACTCCCTTTTTTACTATCCTCCATAAAATCGTACACATTACAGATTCCCGGTTTCTCTTCAAATGAATTTATATCATGTAAGAAAACAGCACACAAGAATAAACGTACAGTCGTAGAAATATGTCGTGCACACGGTTAAATGTATATGCAATTGTTATATAAATAATTACATTTATATTATCTACACGATTGTACATATATTTATAACGCATTATCAAAGGTTTAATACATTCCTTGAGATAAACTTACGGAATAAATATTCTAACATTTGCCATTAGATTTACAAAAACCTAGACCTCTTTATTTTATAAAGGATAATTCGTTCGATAGTGATTATACAGGTATTATTTTTTTTTTACAAGAGAGTTATTTAAAGAGTTTCCTGTTTAACGGGAAGTTTAACGTGTTATGGAAAGACAGTATAATAAAACATTATCATCATTAAATGTGCTGAATAACTTCGTTCGTTATTTACTTGACCCATAATTTGACAAGTTTTATATACAGAGTTTTTTTTCTTTCTCATATTATGTAATCTATACTGAGAGTCTTGTTCATGAAAATTGACTTATACACATTCTTATTTCTTAAGAAGTACACTGTACAAAAAATACAAGCCTATTATCTAAAAGACTTCAAGTATTCCTTATTTTGTTCTTTTGAATTCCCCCCGATTATTTAACAGGTGTTTACATTTGTGAAACGTCTGAGGAGTCTAATCTCTATTCCTTCATTCTGTCGGAAACGATCACATCGTTGCTCGCTAAATGTTATGTAACGTATACATATCGAGTTTATACAGAAAAATAAAAACGATAACGTACCTTTTATACGCGTCAAGAGAAATTACTTTTCACCTGTTACATATATCGAAAATTTAAATGTTTATTTATATTTAAAAAAAATTCTTTTATCGATAAAAATGAAGGTGGTAGCACGAAGGTAACAGATAATTAGAAAAGTACTATATAGAATATAGACGATATGTTTTGATAAAAGGTAACGCGTGTCGTTTGTTTGGCAGTTAGAGATACCCAATCGTTCTCTTGTAGCGAATTTGGTTGCTTGCACTAGTGCGCACTGAGTGCACACTAAGGCTTGTTTATAGTCAATTCTTATATTTAATAATATCAGTGATTTTGTTGACCGTATCTGGCAATTAAAATTCTTATTGCGAAAAATATTACCCCAGCCAGGATTCGAACCTGGGACCTCCCTCAATCCGTGACGGGCGCGGTCTAAGACGGTTTAAGTTTAAGTTTAAGTTTACCTTAAGACGCCCGTCACGGATCGAGGGAGGTCCCAGGTTCGAATCCTGGCTGGGGTAATATTTCTCGCAATAAGAATTTTAATTGCCAGATACGGTCAACAAAAATCATTGATGTTATTCATTTATTAATTACTTCTGGCGACTTTAAGAATATTCTTACTAGTTTCTTATATTTAACTTTACCTTAAATACATGTTTAAAGAGTATTGTGTAATCCGTATGAATGCTGTACAGACCATTTTTTTAAATAAAAATGGACTATAAACAAGTCTTGGTATGCGCTCAGTGCGCACTAGTGCGAGCAACCGAATTCGCTATTAATTAAACGCAACATGGCAGAAAAAACTTTAAAGTTCCTGCCTTAATTCACGTACCCGATTGCTTGCTCGTAGACTCATATCCGTGAGGTAGCGCGAGACTAACAGATCGTAAAAGAGCTCAGTAATCACACTAATGAAACCAACTAAACGCAATCGATCCCAAGACGGGAAGTTTTTCTGGCTTGATTGTGTATCACACTCGTACATTCGCCCATCGAAGTACAAAAAGTTATCCACGTAAAGCAATCGACGCTGAAACGTGATCAGGTAAAAAATATGTTGACGTTATTAAAATATCAATTGTAATATAATGTAACAATTTTCAACACACGGCGTATGTACATACACTGACAAGGAATGATTCCGAGTTACACTAAAAATAGCGCTTCTGTTATCTGTTAATGACTGTAATCGCGTATCCCTGATAGGAATATTTTGCTGAAATCCCTCTCAATTGACCCAGTTATAATCTCAGCAATTTATCATTAAAAAGTATTCACGATTTTTAGTGAAATTCGATAAATTTCGTAACATCTAATATTTTATCATTTTTTTAACTTTTCAACAGTATACTTTCCTTGTATGTCAGACCATTGAATTTCATATGGGAAAATCTGATTTACCTTAGGACACATTCATTAATTTTTCAACAGCTTTCATTTCACTCTTCATCTATTTCACAGTACTTTCATAGTATATTTTCAGCAAAATATTTCCATCAGGGATTATATATATATATAGACATTAATCTACATACTGCTGTCACTAATGATGCATATACTCTCCATTTTGCCTTTCTGAACGACGTATTCCAGGCTATTTACAACTTTCACGGAGACCTCTATTCGCGCCGCCAGGTCGTACGTCCCCGCGCTGGAGAACACGGCGTGCAGCTTTACGGTATTGCTCGTGTGCGCTTCGACGTCGGAATAAATTAACGAGTGGCCGGCGTACTTGTAGTACGTCGAAGCTTGCGGCGAATACAGTTGGGATTTGATATTCGGAAGATGAGTCTCGCTGCAAAAGAGGATTACATGAATATAGCGCGGAATGATGAAGAGTTTAAGTAATGTAGTACTTTGTACATTATATTATCGATATTCTATCTCACCTGCTGGTACCTATCGTGCTTATTTTAACGTCGGTTCGCGCCTGCGAGTGATTTTGCAGATACATCGTCACGGGAACAACGCACAATCGGCTTCGCTGAAAATCGTGCGTCGTCCGCCTTTGATGACTGAGGGAAAAAGAGATTAGACTTTTCAGATACTCCGCTTCCCACAGGGGGTCTTTAAGCGGGACAGCCACTGCATTCGATACGTTCCGGTCCGGGCCGAAGACCTTCAGGCGTGCGCCATACTCGCTACGCTCGGCACGTGGTTCCCTCGGATGTTTATACGTCTTGTTTAAATGCTCGAGTTCGAGGTGATGTTGCCCGACCGCCGTACGAGTGATAACACCGCTCTCCGTCACGTTAGCACACCACCGGACGATCAGCGTGGAATTCAACGCCGCGATATCCGACGCGGAGTTCCTCTCGGCGTTCTGCTGCGGCTGAAATTGTTGCGCGTCGCTCGCACTTTCGCTCACGTCCAGCGGCTGGATGTAACGTCTCTGTACAAAGTTGATAAACGGATAACTGTCGAGCAGCGCCTTGTTGCCCTTGTTAGGAGTCAAGGACACGTCAGAAATGGTCGACTCGCCGCCGGTCTTGCTCTTCTTTAGCTTCAGCATCAGATGAAATACCTCTTGAGGTTGAACCTTCACGCTCGGCGGCAGAACCGAGGAATGAAACGCGGACCACGTGGTGCTCTGTAGCGACACTTGGGACAGGATGATCTCATTTATGGATGGATCGTGAACCTGATTGGTATTCTTAACGGACATGATTAAATTTAACGTCGGCGAGTCGTCCCTGAACAGTCCGCTTCGGGCGGCAACCGCGGTAATTCGTATCGAGTCCAGCACCGTTAGTTGCCAGGTGTGTCGGCACAAACGGTGCTTCGAAGTAGCGTTCGACTCGACGCTCTCGTAATAGAAGAGCATATCTAATCTGTGAATACCCTTCACGTGGGGTGCTTGCACCCAAAGTGGCATTTTGTGAGTCTCGCCTACATTTAACACACCATTCTTGGAGGCCGGTAATATCACCTTTGTAACCGATTTACTATTTTTCTTCGCAACTAAATCTGCAAATATTAATATTGTTCGATGAAAACAGATACTTTGGATAGGAGAGAAATACAAAGCTGTCTCACCGACAGAAACAAAGTGACAAGAAGTATGTCCTAAAGATGCTTACCATCGTTTCCGAGTGTATCGATGGTCTCCGTGTTTCCTAATGTAAATAGTTTGGCGTCGGTGGACGCAATATGTATGTTGGTCAACGGTGCGTTACCTATGTTCTTTAACGTGACCTCCACCTTTTGTACTTCGCCGCACAGCATTTCTGGCGACAGCTTCGTGAAGAGTATCTGCGAAAAGAAGAGCGGAAATTTTTATCTATCTACGTTTTGCACAGCGCGTAACGTCACTTCTCACGAGAATGTACCTGCATAAATGCCGCCTTCTCTATCACATTCATCTCCAGCCTATAATCTTTCCCGTACACATTCACGCCGGGTTTCTCCTTGACACTTTTCAACCTGGGCGGTGTAATCTCGAACAATCTCTTACCGGCGACGATAACGGTCGAATTTGCAACCGGTTGATCGTTCATCGTCTGCACCGGATTGGACAATTTGTAGCTTATACCTAGAACCTTCAATTCGCCCACTCGCCTGGGCGTTAAAGACAATACGATATTCTGTTTGCACGCCGGTTGCAACAAAATCGCGTCCGTGACGTCCGACTCGACCGGGCTTGAGCGGTCGATCGTTTCTGTCTCATTCGTGACGGTCTCGTTATTGCACGTGAACGACCACAATAGGGTCACGTCCGACAATGGTAGAGGGACGTGCAGCGGATTGTGCAACTCGATGGAATAATGCACCGGTTCGTCTAGAACCGCGTTGGGTTTTACAGCGTTATTGCTTGTTCTGGAGTACAGCGCGACCGTCGGTTTAAAAATCATGAGCGGAGAGCCTTGCGCCTCGGTAATCAGCAGCTCTTCCATCCTCGACCACCTCGCGTCGTCTGTCTCTTCAGCGAACGTGACGTGACTCGCTGGAATATTGCTCTCGGTTTGTCTGCCCAACGGACCGTACAGCACTTTGATATTATTGTTATCCAACAGTGGCAAGGGTAGAATAGGAAGACCCGTGCAGCTCGCACCGTTTTCCTGCAACAACTGTGCACGGCCATGGATTTAAAAAGTCCATCGGTATCCACCTTGATCGCCGTGTGTTATACTCACGTTATGAGTGTGTAAAAATTCTCGCAAAAATGCCGCCTGCTGCGGAGCGTGCTGTTTACTAGAAGCATTAAGTAACTTTTCAAACGCCTTCACCGCCTCGGAGACTTGTTTCAGGGACGCCGCCTGCCTACCGATCGTAAAATGGATGTGATCCTCTGCCAAAGACCAGCCTCTCTCATAATATACCTGGTGTCATATGTTATTTGTAACGTAAGGGAGTTTCTTACAAAGTTTCTGAAGCAAAACGCGACGTTTGCACTAGAGATACGTTCATGCCTACTTGATACGCTTGCTGGTAACACCTCAGGGAATGCTTTCGTTGACCGGCCTTCGAGAATCTGTGTCCAGCCAGAACCGCGTGAAAGGCATATTTGCGCATCATCTTCGGACCGATGAAGCAATAAGCGGCCTGCTCGAGCAGCAAGGCCGAACGTAAATCGGAATCCTCGCTGGTCATCCGTATCAGCTGCTTCGCGGCTTCCCCGTACAAGCCGCGGCCTTTCAAACACTCGGCGCTGAGTAACGTTGCCCTCGTAGCAAACTGCGGCATCTTACAGCTATTCGCGTATGTTAATATCGCGTCGTCCATGTACTCGATGGTCTTCCTGTTGGTCTCGCCGTGCATAAAAGCGCTCAGAGCGGCCATCTCAAGGGCGCCCGCGTAATATACCCAAGCTTGATCCGCGGCGAAGTCGCGCTTCGCGCTGTGGTAAACCTGATAAGCGAGCGAATAGTGGCCGAACATGAAACACAGGTCGCCCAAACGCCGTAACTGCAACTCTGGCGACTCCGTTGTGTAACTGAAACGCAAACGAATTATGTCGCGTTGATATAATTAACTTCGAGATAAGAATCGTCAAGCGCCATCCTTTTCTTTAAGGATCAATGTAACGTGATTTTCGCTTACATTACGGCATTTGACGGCGCCGAACCTGGAACGCCAGGCTTATTTGTACTGAACCACCTTTTTGTGGCGCTAAACAGCGATCTGCTGACCCTCTTGTTTGAAATCACGTCGTTCAATAGGCCAATCTGCTTTTCTACATAAGGCAGCAGGCTTCGCAGGCAGAATTCCGTTATTAACGTCCGCAATCTTTCTAGATCTTGAGTGGAGAGACGAGCACCGTGTTGAGCAACTACGTAGTTCGGAGAATCAGCCCAGACGTTTGTATTTATCGGCGAGTTAGTGCTAATGGATTGACTCTTGATATTGGCCGCAGGAACGAAGCTCTGTGATTTCTCGTTGTCCGGACTGAGTGGGTGAACGGTAACTGGAACCGCTTCTTGTCCCACTTCTAGATTCGCATTCGTCGAGTCGGATATTTCGGATGAGAGACTAATCGTGTCAATTCCGGAAACTAATTCCGTTAAATCTGGAGACGGCAATGCGACACAGTTGTGCGGGACTAGTGGCGTTCCGGCCTGACTCGTTCTGCAGTGGAAATTTTTATGGATTACACATCTCTGAAATACTCGCAAATAAAAAAAAATCGTAAGATCCTTAAGGAGTTCGCTGTATCCTGTTAGTAATAGAAATGATTTTAATTACAATCATAAATTTCAATGTACAAAAACATACTTTTCAGTCTCCGTAGTCAGCTCGCTCGGCATGGCTGACACTCCACCTATGTCCGCAGGTGTACGAGGGGAGCTGTTCTGCTCGCTACCACCGGCCAATTCCGAATGTTTTGTCAAAAACTGACTCCAAGGATCGGGCAAGTGCGTATTGTCATCGGAAAGGCCGGGCGGTCTCGAGTTCATTTGCAGTAGAAAGGAATTATTAGCACCATAAATAGTCTTCATGTCTGTAAAAACTGCTTCTGCTCTGAAAAATGAAATTTTACGAAATTATATATGTCTCTTTGTAAAAGAAAAACTGACTTATTTAACTTCAAGCGCCAATCGACATCAGGAAGTTTAGTAAGCTTGTAGTTTCTCTCTTCTTTAACGTCATTCAATTTAATTATATGTACAAGTATATACGGTGCAAAGATATTCGTACAAACTTTAAGAAGGATACACGTATAGTGTGCTTACTTATTTCTGTCATCCTGAAGGGCGTCGTGAACTAAGATGTAATACCTAAGGGCATTATTGTTAAACCATTTAGGCAACTTTCCCGGTATACTCTGATGCAATTGCGCCCCCATAGTCTGAATCCTCTCCAGCGGCTTGTCCTCCGCTGTAGAGACGACAATCATGCACGCAAGCAGATGCTTCGTGAATTCGTGATCCGACGGGAACTGGACGCTGAGAAACGTTTCTCTCCACGCCTCGAACCAGGGAACGGAGACGGGGATATCTAGCTCGGTCGCGCCGATGTGAACCATGGTTGTACGTTCGCACAGGGCAGAGCTCACGGCCTCGTTCAACAATTTTTTGGCAAGACTCGGTTCTGGCGGCCGCGCATTAATGTCTTGTATGGAAAGACGTAGATTTCTGATCGCTATCGTGTTGCCTTGGGGATCCTTGAAGTGACCTGCGGACATTGTTAACAACTTGCCAAGATTGTAAAAGATTTGGCGTGCGTGGAGCGCGCATTGAAAGCAGCTTCTATCCTTTTTCGGTGTACAAGCAACAGAGATGAGACCATTGAAAGAGCACGTGTGAAAATTAGTTGTCTTTAATGACGAGTCCGTCAAGTGTCAAACCCCATAGGAAATTTATATGAACTAAATGTTTCAAATTGTTCTTTAATTCCCTTCAAACGCTTCTCCATTCATTCAACACATGATTCTTGAATGTTTTAAAATATGGCAATATTTCCCTTGGTGTTTGCAGATGCTAATGTGATAGTATTCTTCAGAGCATACATTGTTCTAGATTAATTGGCATAAGCTACTGCTCTGAGGAGATGCCGTAAAAGATAAACCAAGGAAATTGTGGAAAACCATTGTGGTCCCACTTATGGCGACTCCAATATCAATGAATTAAACACCGTATTGACCAAATTGATCAAAGGTCTGATTTTCGTTACAACTGTCTATTGAATAATAACGTAAAGTTTGTACAATAATGTGCGCGCATCCTCGGCGAACGGGTAAACGTGTGGTCCCCCTGGCTCACCTTCGGTGTTTAATTTGCAAAACGGTTGGAGCAGTTCGACGAACGACAGATTGTTCTTTTGGCACGCGGCGTCGGCCGCGACCGAGCAGACCACGGCAATTTGCGGGGAGAAAGCGTTGCCAATAAACTCCCGCGGAGTTAACTTGCACTGCGCCATGATTCTTGCGCGCGGGGCAAACGACAGACATAACCCGCGGGAGAGCCGCGCTTCTCACGTACGTAGCACTAGACGTAGCGCGCTCACCACCGACTCGCGATCGTCCTACATTCGGCAATCACATTATTCTCGGCCGTCGTTATCTCGCGAGTCGACGTCGTACATGCCCCGGAACGACAACGCATCCCCGCGCGGTTGCGCCGATAAACATGTCGACTTCCACCCCCGAACAGCTGTTTCTTCCCTCTCTACCAAACGTACATACATTCATGGTGGAAATACATAAGGTGTGCTCGTTACCGATACCAATTTTCGTCCGGTTCTGCGCAGCTCCCAAGCGTCTCCATTTTAAGTCGATATATCGATACCTGGGAATCTGCAACGGTGTCTATATTGTCTATATTTATGGGTTGCTATAGCAACCCATAGAATGGACACCAGACTCCTACATTTAAAAAATATACTTTGTCAATAAATATATATGGAAACTGAAATTAAAAAATAATCGTTGCGCGAAAACGTATAAAATACATATTACTCTTTGCTTTTTATATTTCCACACAATAAATGCACTAGATATATGACTTTATAACTGCTTATAGAACGCTCGATTTGATTTAACCGCCACAATATGGACACCGTTGGGAGCAACTTCTCATTGGCTGTTCAAAACGATGCGCAAGAGCACACCTTATGTATTTCCACCATGG